TCCTTCTACTCGGCCAGTGTGACTTTAAAGAGCGACGTCTCCCCTCCACCTCTTTACCAGGTGGCCCAACCTCTTCTTGCTGTTCTGGCTGCGGTGGCTTTCCGACTCAGCGCTCCTTTAATCAGCTCAGCGAGCCCAAAAGCCCCGCCCACGTCAGATCCGGGCTCTGCCCCTGTGTCCCAAGGTCCCGCCTCCCCGTGGAGGGCCGCGTGGGGGAAATGCCTCTACGCCTTACGATTTGCGCGGGCGGGCCTGCTGCGGGGAGGTTGGGAGCTGTCGCAGCCGCTCACGGTAAGGAGGATCGGGCTCGAATTGGGGCCAGAGCCTAGGCCGGGGCCGGGCAGCAGGAGGTTGCGCAGGCCCTGCGGGCTGGCGCTGGAACAGGACTTGCCCCCGCAGCATAGAAATGGGCGCGGCGCGCATTCGGGGGCCGACCTCTGGGCGTGGGCGGGGCCGCGGGGGCCGCGCGTGCGCAGCCCGCCTGCTGGCAGCGAGGCGACCCCTGTGAGGCTCTTCTTTTGGCGGGCTGCTTGGTTCTACAAAGTAGCCACTTGTCGACTTTGTTACCCCCTGGGAGGTCCCGAGCCGTGGCTCAGTGCAGCCGGTGCTACAGAAATGGAAAGGTGGACCGCGAAGCCCCTTCTAGTGAGGGCGGATGGCAACTAGAGGCCAGGCGGGGATCCTTGGATGGGGCTGTGATAAAGGGAACGAGGGTTCGTCCCTTCCCAGAGGGACGGGGCGTGGCCCAGCCCGGAGTGTCGCTGAGGCCTTGCTGTCTTCTGCGGGGTGGTGGAGGACCTGTGCAGAGGGAGGGGCTCACGGCTGAGGGGCGGGGCTTGGTGCAGACCTGGTTTTTAGGCGACCCCGGTCTCCTGTTGGCCCTCTGCACTCCCTGACTTCATTCAAGAATAACAAACAGGTGAATCTGGTTAACGTGAAGGGTAAAGGTGGTCTTGAAGGAAAAAAGAAAAATGTGAAGTAGACTTCATACTAGGACGCGCGTGGTAGGAGCAGCTAACTAACCCTAGTTCTGGTGCTGAATGTCTCAGACCTTTTTATAGGGCCTGTTGACCCTGGCCATATTTTAAACCCCCCACTCCTAAAACAAAACGAAAACCGTACAGTTTGAGGGTCCCGAGCTTTCTGGCTAGGATAATCAACCCAATTTTGGTGATTCCGAGTACACCCTGGTGAGCGCCTATTAGGGAGAGAAGGGCTTGACGACTTCACTTGCATTTGTGACCTTTGGCAATGTGGAACTCTGGTCCAGTGAGGGCTAGCTTAATCATTTCAAGATCTTCTCTTCCCTGTAGGAACAGCACGTAGTTAATGTGACTGACATACCATTTTCCAAACATAAGATTTTGAGGCTGTTGGAAATAAAAATCACAATATCTATTTATAGTTCAGCCATCTAGTGACTGTACAAATTAAGTTATGCTACAGGGCTGCACTTCGAAAACTAGTTTATGACTGGAAGAATAATGGCTTAGACTGAGATGGATGTGACTGGAGGAACGAAGCATGTTAATCTTGTTAATGAAATCCCAGGAATTTTCTTTATATTCTATGATGTCCCCCACTTCACTTTGTATTTAGACTGAAATAATGAAGGAAATTATGATACTCCCCCCTTTTTTTTTAACCCAGGGGGAAAGTCAGACTTCTAAGTATCCATAGTTACTGAACATCAACTAGGTGAAGGCTACAAATTTGAGTTGTCGAAGTAGAAAAACTGGCATGATATCATTGAAAGCAGTTCCTTGGGTTGAGAATGTGGGAGATGAGTGAAGTAAGTAGAGGTTCTTTCATCGTCTCTACCTCTGTGATGTGCTGTGCCTTGTATTTATGACTTCTTGGTCTTTCAGGCTCTTCTTGAAATGGGATTTGAGTTTTTCCGTTTGCTTCTGGACGCAGAGTTTAGCTTTTTATTTATATGTCATTGATTTTTTTGAAAATCTGACTATAGCTGGGGACCTCTTCTCCCCAAATGAGTATACACACATACACGCAAATTTTGCCTAAATTCTAGAGGATTCACACAAATAGAATCTAGATTAAGAATCCGTCTTAGAGAATATATACATATAACTTTATTATATTAGTTATATATTATATTTGTCATCATATTTAAGGAATATATATATGTTCAAAGAATATATATATATTTGAAATTCTGAGAGCTTCCAGAGTTTTGTTTTTAGATAATGATCAAATAATTTGAATTTTCTGTCGATGACCCTTATGACATGATATTTTATAAGACAAGAACTGTTTCTTCTAGAAGTTCTGGGAAAGGATATCATTGACATATCTTTTAGGAATATGATAAAAATGCAACAAGAATAGATTAGATTTCCATATCAAGTTATATTATTAGAAAGCAGAAATACTAATGCTAGTATGCTGAGGCTTAAACACTGTAGAAGAAAGGGATATTTTATGCCCTCTAGGACCTTAATATGGAAAAAAAAAAAACTCCTCAAAACTCTAAATAGGTTTTTAGTGATCAAGAGATACTAAGATTGGTGCTCAGTTGGTTATATACTAGGGTCGGGGAGGTTGGGGAATGAGGGGTAGGGGTGAGTGGGGTAGAAAGTAAATATATGTCTTCTGTTTTATTAGGAATTTTCTCGACATATTTGATATAGAACTGTCTGATGGTGCCCCCTTTCTCCAGGCCTATAGTACCCTGAGGCATTTTGGCAAATTAAGACTTCCTGCAGATGGAGGAACTGGAGCAGGGTCTGTTGATGCAACCATGGGCGTTGCTACAGCTTCCTGAGAATTCCCTCTTGGCCAAGACTTATATCACCAAGCAGGGCTATGCCTTGCTGATTTCAGATCTTCAAGAAGTGTGGCATGAACAGGTGGACACTAGTGTAGTCAGCCAGCGAGGCAAGGTAAGTGTGAAGGGAAGTACTGCTGTGGGGTGGTAGTGTATATAATTTCTTTCCTAGGGAAGGTCAGGCGACATTAACATCAACCAACTTGCTGGCCTGTCAGCTGCCAAAGATGGTGGAATCAGGTTGAGACAATTCCAGTTAATGTCCTGTACTTCTGCCTATAGCCCTGGGATCTTTTAGTGTGTGTGTGTGTGTGTGTATGTGAGAGAGAGAGAGAGAGAGAGAGGGAGAGAGAGAGGAGAGAGAGTTTCTGTACTGCATACAGTAAAGGCAGAATTGTGAAGTAGGCCATTGATCTCTTTTATTTTTGTTGTTTTCTTTTCTGTTCTGCTGTTTTATCTTCCCTTCCCTTCCTCTAATGTCCACTGTCTTCATGGTAACCAGAGTTTTCCTTTGCTGTTACTTATGAAAGAGTCGGTTTCCTTCTAGCACCTGCACTCTGCACGACTCTGCTGTCTTTTTAGGAGCTGAACAAGCGCCTGACTGCTCCCCCTGAGGCTTTTCTCTGTCATTTGGGTGATCTGCTTTGCCCATTGCTGAAGGGCATTGCTTGCCCTGGCAAAGCTACCTTCTCCTGTGATCGTGAGGCAGAAACACTGATACTACGGGTGCGGAGCGAGCTCTCTGGTCTCCCCTTCTATTGGAATTTCCACTGCATCCTGGCCAGTCCTTCCCTGGTAAGTACAATTCGAATATGTGGTTGGGAAGGGGACTGCCAGCTGCTTTGAGGTGAAGCTTTAGATGCTCTGATTATTTTATAAACTCTATTTGAAATTCTCCGAAAAGAACTTTTCTTGATTCGACAGAAGGCAGAAAGGATTTTTGCTGGTATACCCTTTCCTTGCAAAGGGAGCAGAGTTTGGGTTTACACTTTTTATTGGGTTTCATTATTTATTCAACAAATGTTGAATAAAATTTATTAAGCATCTACTATGGGCCAGTTGTTCAGTGTCAAGATCTAAAACTATGTAGCCTATTCCTGGAGTTCATAATCTAGTGAGAAGACAGACAGGAAACAGGGTGAAGTATGGTAAATTCTTTGATTGAGGTAAGCCCAGGATGATTAAGGATCCAAAAAACCTTTTTGAAGAGATAGTTTCTGGGCTGAGTTTTGAAGATGAGTAGGAACTAATTGGGAGGAAATAAAGAGGTCATTCTAGGCAAGAGTGCATTTTGAGAGGTGTGGAGATGTTTAAGTGTGGGACCAGTGGGGGAACTTCATGACTGCAAGGAGTTGAGAGCAAGAGGCAAGCAGTGGCTAAATCTTAAAGGATTCTCTGAGTTTAGAGCTTATCCAAAAGGCAACAGGGATGCATTTAAGCAGGAGTTTAACATGATCCAATTTGTAATTTATCAGGATCACTCTGGCAACAGTGTAGAGTATATACCAGTGGCAGGTACCTTTTTGAACATTATGTTGTCATTTAATCCTCAAGATAACTATCCTGCAAGATAAGCATTTTCCCTGTTTTTCAGAGTAGGAAACAGATATTAAAGGGTAATTTGTCCAAAGTCATCCAGCTTGTAAATGAATGGGCTGAAATTTGACTTTCGGGTAGGTCTGATTCAAGAGCCCATTTTCAGGGACTAGAAGGATGATATTCTCTGCTTACTCATAGTTTTCTAGGCACCAAGAACTTTTTTTAAGAAATTAATTGAGAATGGACATTAAGAATTAGTTTGCAGGAGTTACTGCTGCTGGTCGCTTCCACACTTCTGTATAACCAGAGCTTGTTTCAGTCAGTAGCATTAGAAGATGGGGTTTTCTATGCAAGGCCTAAGGGTGTAGGTTTATCAGCAGAGGGATCTGAAAAGTGGGCATCATTTCTTGTCTCCCTTCTTTAGTCTCTAAGTGGTGATGTGGTGCTTTGGCATCAGTAGGGTGGATGGGACAAAGTGCTTTTTGAGAAACTGTTCTTTGGTGTTTATTTTTGATCTGGAACCCAGTAAAGCTAGACTTGAATGCTTGGAGAATTACATCTCCTTCATCTCTGAAATTCTAAGGCCCATCAAAAGTGCTTAGCAGATAATAGTCATGCATATTTGTTGCTTTTAATTGAATTTCTTGTGAAACTTTCCATCCTGCTTTATGTAAAGCAGGGGTCCTCAAACCCCAGGCAGTGGACTGGTTCGGGTTCGTGGCCTGTTAGGAACTGGGCTGTACAGCAGGAGGTGAGCAGTGGGTGAGTGAAGCTTCACCTGTATTTGCAGCCGCTTCCCAGCAGTAGCATCATCACCCAGCTTCACTTCAGATCATCAGGCATTATTAGATTTGCATAGGAGCACTGGTCCCTGGTGCCAAAAAGGTTCATGTAAAGAATTTACCTATTTTGTTCAAAACTCCTGTAACTTTTTCTAAGCAACACCAGGGGGCACTGTTCCCTCAATAATGCTTGTTCTAGGACCAAAACGTTTGGACTGCTTTTGGGAAGCCCAAGTCATAACTGGTCCCATTTTGCATCACACGGTCCTAGAAACTCTGAGTAGTGAGATTGAGGAGGCAGTTCTCTTTGGAGGCTGATGGGCTCTAATAGTTTATTCTTTCTAAAGGATATGGTAAAGAACACTTGCGTGATGATATAACCATTGAAATAATGTAGAAAGAGAAAAATAGGTATTCTAGGTAAGTTCCTCTTTTGGGGGAGCTACAATAAGAAAAGAGGCAACAGTGTTTAGAGTGGAACGCGTCTTGGTTGGCCGTGGGGAGAAGTGAGCATTGGACAATTGATTAACAATTTTGTGTTAAGGTAAAAAAAAAAAAAGTCTCTTTTTACAACAACAAGAAGAATGCCATCCCAGGGAAATCCCTGAACCCGAGGAAGCTTTATAGGGGAAAAGTTAGAGCCAGTGGACTGGCAAGGATGTAGGTAGATACTATTTCAGGCTTGTGTGTGTATCTATGAGGTCACGCAGTCATAATTTTTGTTTATTACTCATTCTTGTGATACTTTTTATTTAATTTATTTTTTGAATGAGCAATTCATGCAAAAGGGAAACGTTTCAGACAGCATTTAAGGGTATACAGTGAAGAAATAGGTCTTTCTATCGCCTTTTCTAGCCTTTTATTTTCCTTCTCTAAAGCAACTACTTATATAAGCTTCTTGCAAATTCTTAAAGCTAATATACAGGTATGTATAGATGGATGTATGTATATACGTATGTATGTATATACTTGTATAATCAGATTTATATCTGGATATATGTATGTATCTTTGCAAATGGCAACATGCTATTCACACTGTTCAGTTCCTTGCTTTTTTCACTTAATTATAGAACCTAGAAATCATTCATGGCAATACATTTAAAAGACCTACCTTAATATTTTTAATGGCAATATAGCATTTTATTTAATAAATATATCGGCATGTATTTAATTGATATGCAACTAGTAGACACTTAAGTTGTTTCCATTCTTTTGCTATAGATAGTGAATATCTTTGTATTTATTTTTTCTATGTGTAAATGTGTGGGTAAATTCCTAGAAGCGGAATATCTGAATCAAGGTATATTTGCATTTTTAATCTTGCTAATGTAATGCCAAATTGTCTGGCAGAGAGATTATGTAGTTTAACTCCTACTGGTCATTCAGGAGAGTAGGAGAGCAACTGTCCCACACCTTCTGCAACATAATGTATTCTCATTAATAATTTAATAGTTCTTAAGTCTCTGCAGGATATTATGAAGCTTCAGGACTCTGCTTTCTAACACTGAGCCCATTTCCACCTCCGGCCAACTTCTCTTCATCTCCTTCTTCCCACCATGTATTTTTCCAGTATCCAATGTAATTCTTTTTGTTGTTACTATATATTTTTCCTGACGTAATTCTTGATATTCCATGTTTTGGCTTTTAACTTGTCACATCTTTGGCTGTTTTACAATTCCTAGGACTCACACGCAAAGGTTTTTTTTTTTTATGGTAGAAAGAGCAAAGAACACACATAGGCTTTGGAACCAGCAGACCTGAATTTGTAACAACTCCGCCACTTTGACTGCTTGTATTACCTTGGATGAGTTACTGCATTTTTATGAGACTCGTTTTCTTCATCTGTGGAGATACCAATCACAATCTTGCTGTGGAGTCGTGAGGATTAAGTGGACATATGTAATATTACTTATTCTTAGCATGATAGTGAGCCTGTGAGAGCAAATATTCCAACTCAATAATTTTTCTTTTTAGAGAAGATTAGGACTAAGCCATTTTTACACATAGGTACTATGAGAGCCAGGACTAGAATCTGGGTCTCCTGATTCCTTGTCTGTTACCCTTTTCACAATATCCAAACCTGACATGATTCATCGTGGGATCGATAACCGCCATTCTACTCTCCTGCCTATGACTTGTGAACATTTCTATAGGAAATCTGAAGATATTATAGGAAATTATGAAAAGCTTTTCCTCTGGAGAAGACTGCCAATTCCTGCTTCTATAGATACTGTATTTCCTGACCTCCTCAACTCGAGCTTTTTGAGGGCAGAGGCCCCAGAGGGTCAGAGCATGTATTAGGCACACCATAGATGTTTGTTGAATTGACTCGTTGAACTGCATCTCCATATATTGCTGTCTGTAAATGAAGGAGTGGGTAGATGTGTCCTTAACTTCCTAAAGCACTTCAAGATTTTTTCTTGTAGTGTCTGTGGATTTGCTTTGAAATCTCTTCCTTTAGCCACAATGCCTTGTTCTAATTAACTGATCTAAGTTAGTGTTCATCTTAACTTTGAAGTGAGTTATACCCCAATGATTCAGAGTGATGTTACCCAATCCTATGAAATATTTTAGAAGTTAAAATATTTACTGATAAAAAGCTTTTTTTTTTTTTTTCTTTGTTGTATAGACATTGGAGTCCGATGGATAATTTCAGGTGTCTGGTATGGCATTACCATATTTAATTAGACATGGCACTTATTAAAAACTGCTTCTCATTGTATTTCATGTTGTTACATTTACTACCACTCAAGGAAATTGCTATTAAGGTGGCCTCCTAGAGAGAGGCTGGTTAATTAACTTTAGGAGTTTCTGTTATTGGGGGGCTGTCACCAAATGGATGGTGATGCTGCTTGGTTAGCAAGTACATTACTTTAAAATGCAACCTACCAAACATTGACTTGCTTTTATACAAGTATTCACCTGTTTTCCCTCCTAATCCACCTTGAACAGGAACAAAGTCACCAAAAACAATTCCTAGGAAAGAGGCATGAGTCTTGAGTAGATAAATTTTCCCAAAGCAGAACTACGGCCACATCTGAACAGTAGTTCCTGGAGGCTTGAGTTTATATTAAGGATCTGAGCTGGAAGACAGTACCCGGTTGGGATGTGCTGTGTGATGGGTAGAGGTGACTGGTATCTACAACTGGACTTGATTTCACTTTGCTCCAGTACCCCTATATTTCTTGGGTCCCGGTGCTGGTACAAAAGCTGCTACCACTAACCCCTAACCCCACCCTACCCTCACCATTAGAGCAATGTAGAAAAAAGTCCTTTCCTCTCAGTTTGAGCCACAATACAATTGGAGTTTTTAGTACTCAGCTTTACTAGAAAATGAATGGAAAATGAAAACACAAAAGTCTGAAGAGTTCAGACTTGTGATCCTGATCGAGATGAGTCTGGCTTGCACATTTCGTAGGACACTCCAGTATCATTTCCTCACCTCAAACCTGTGGGGTATCTTGTCTAAAAGTTCTCTCTTTTAGATCTAGGGCCAGGGTTGGTGTACTATGGACAGCAGACCAACTCTGGCTTGCTGCCTATTTTTGTAAAGTTTTTTGGAACCCAGCCACTCTCATTTCTTACATGTTGTCTGTGACTGCTTTCATCCTACAACAGCAGAGTTGAGTTTTGCGGCAGGGGCTGTATGGGCCACAGAACTGAAAACTTTGACCCTCTGGCGCTTACAGAAAAAGTTTGCTGACCTCTGGTCTAGGGCATTTCTTCTTAGGGCCTCCTTCAGTTCATTTCCTTGGCGGAAGGGAAAGAAACTCTGATAACATCTCCGAGCCACAAATAGATTATTGATTTTAGTTCTTTTCTTTGGCTAAGGCTTTCATCTTTTGAAGGCTAATGGACACCTTGCATAGGTGAATGAAATGATTATTTCATGTAGCTTTACATTATATGAGAACATCATTGTAGCTGCAGTGCAGTATGTCTATGCTTGGGACCTTCTTTCCTCTTGTTAGCAAATTGTGCGTGTGGGTGGATTCCTTCCTAGGCTGGTCTCTTGGTGACCGGCTTGCTTCTATTACAACAATGACCTTAGCCTTTGCTGCGTTTGTGGGAACAGTTGAAACTCTGGGCTCATTCTGGGCTATTGTCAGCCCTGAAGTGGCTCTTCATTAGTGTCTGGGTCTAATTTGACTTTGAAATCTCTCTACTTTCTGTGGACTTTTGTCTTCTGTTATATTCCAGCTAGCATACTCTGTTGTAGCCACCCACACCCACTTTCTTGAAAGTAACTTGGATCTTCTGTTTTTGCCTCTCAGTCTCTGATGAGAGTTCAGTTAACACTTTCTTTCCTCTTATCAGCTCTATCACATCCTCCTCTTTAAATTACAACTCTAGCTTATCTATTCATGAATATTCTCCTTTAGTCTTCCCATCCTTTGATCTGTGCCACAAAGAAAAAATCTGAACTTCTTAATATACGTATTTAACTATTATATGTGTTTTTACATTCATGGAAATGGATTGCTTGCCTATGAAACTATAAGTTCCTATGAAAATAGTTATTCTTTAGTATTTTTTCTAGTTCCTAATACAGTCTTAGGGAGTATTTTTAAGCATCTTTTGGCTAATTGATATTTCTTCCATGAAAGGTCTCCCAACATTTGATTCGTCCTCTGATGGGCATGAGTCTGGCATTGCAGTGCCAAGTGCGGGAGCTAGCAACCTTGCTTCACATGAAGGATTTAGAGATCCAGGACTACCAGGAGAATGGGGCTACGTTGAGCCGAGGTGAGAGGACATTCTGTGAGATTTTGGGTGGGGAATGGTACAGATAATCAAATGTGTCCCAGAAAAGGGACACATTTGCATTAGAGAGGTGCTTCCCTGAGGGTGGGTGCTGCGTACTGACCAAAACTGGAGACTTGATGCTTGGTGACACTTCTCTGCCTCGAGTGCCTGGCTGGTGCTCAGTTGGCCAATAGAAACTGTAACAGAGTCCAGACACACCCTAGGCAATGGCAAGGAAGGACTTTGGAAAGGAACCAACAGCTATACAAAATTATACGAGGTTAAACATGAACTTGGGACTTTAAGAAGCTGCATAGCTCCAAGTGCAGAATAAAAATTTAGTTTGACTTTTGTCTTTGTGTTGGGAAAAACTCCTAGAGCCCATGCTGTCACCGAACCTGTCATTTATTACTAATCGTCTTCTCCTGTTTACACATGTACTCATCCCTGCTCCCTCTAGACTAGGTGCCTCTGGGTATTGCATATGTGTACTCTTTTCTTTCGATTTCACAGGTAGGAAGCTTGTCCTAAGACTCATTTCTTTTCTCTATCCCTTCTAATTACAGATCGGTTGAAGACAGAGCCATTTGAAGAAAATTCCTTCTTGGAACTATTTATGGTAGAGGTAGAGTATTTATTTCCTTTCTCCTTGTGCAACTTTGCTTGACTTCCTCTTTCCAGGTGCCTGAGTGGTGACTTGCGTTTGGGTGTTAGGTTGCTTGCAAAAGATTGGAAAGCCCTTTCTCTGAAAAAGTTGCCTGTGGAGAGTCTGGTGAAGCTTAAAGTATGCATGGGGACGGTGGGGGAAAGTAAGGGGAAAGACCATAAAGGCGAAAGTGGGCTGGTTAACATCTATACAACATCTCTGTTAAAGCACCTAGAAATTTCACTCGGGATTCTCTAACCTTAGAAAGCTTGGTTGTTCGGTCACTAAATTTTCGCTTGTTGAGATCTGATCACAGGTCTGGATTGTGGAGCAGGGGACTAGTCATTATTACTTGTCCAGTCCCCTTCAACATCCTGCAGTAGAGGAAGGTGAAAAGCACAGGGCTACCATTTGGGGACTGTCTTGTGGGCACAGTAGGTTGTGGAAAATCACAATGTTTATACAAGGGGACTGGCAAAGGAATGAATGGGAAATAGATAATTGTGGCCTGTCAGAAGCTCCTGCTTAGGTTTCCCTTCTAAGGATTGAGCTTGGCCAAAAGAAACATCTATTAAATGCCAAACAGGGGGAGTATTAATAATAGTGACCTTTGATAATACCAGTCAATATTGATCTTCTCCTTCTCTAACTCTTCTGGGACTTGTTGGTTTTATAGTTAGTACCTTAGCTGCTTTATTATTGCCCTATTTTCTAATTATACCTTTTACCCAAGTTGGTACTTTATTTTGTAAGTAAATAAAGCATTTATAATATTGTTATGTATGGATTATTCACATTTCTATCTTGTCTTCTAGGCTAATTTGTAAACTCCTTATAGGTAGGGACTATAACTCATATTCCTTTTGAACTTGAAATTAGTGCTTTTCACAGGGCAAGGCATAAAGTGGGTGTTTTTGAGTCGGAACCTTCTGTTCTACCTCTGTGCATTGACTGAGCAATGACTTCTGAATGCCGGGGGTCTTACTACTAAGAACGACAGGTGCAAGTTGAGTTCTCAGTCCATCTATTGAGGCAGTTGTAACCCTGGAGAAGAAGGAAAGCATGTATCGCTAATTCCTGAAGTAGAATAGGTTTCAATTCTTTACAGGGAACGAGGGACCATTAAACCTAGACTTGTAACAGAAAGAGATTTCCTAGGCCATTATTCTTTGACTTAGCTTCCCTGTCTGTAAGTTTGGCTATTAAGGAGGTTCACGTAGGCTAAATGTGAGGTACTAGTTCCCCTCCTCAGCCCCTTAGTTAAACAACGCAAGGCTTGTGCTTAGCCCAGCAGAGGGGTGCCTTCCTGATCTAGTGCCTACATACCTGTCCAGTCCCCTTCAACATCCTACAGTGGAGGAAGGTGAAAAGCACAGGGCTACCATGGTTTCTTGACATTTTTCTTTACGTACTTTATGTGTCAACAATACATAGAATGACTTTTAATTGCCAAAAATGCTTGTTCTCTAGGCTTTATGTCCTTGCACATATTTTTTACTTTATCTAGAATGTCCAAATGCCCTGGCCTTATCTACCTTGTATACTTCTATTAATATTTTAAATGCCAGCTTCAGCTTCTTTGAGAGATCTTTCAGGACTCTCCTTATAAAGATAATATGTCTTCCCTATAACTATAATGCCTTGGTTTGTACCTCTATTTTACCAGTTATAACTTTGTAATATGTTTGTATGTCTGAAAGGCTGTCTTTCTCCATTGATCTATGGACTACTTGAGGGCAAGGACCGTGTTGAATGTATTTCACTGAACATAATGCCTAGAACTAGTAAGTTCTCAGTAAGTGTGTGGATGAATATGTTGATAAATCTGTACCGGGGGATTTGATGAAAAGTGTGGCCTGTGGATATAGTGTTTGTTGCTTGTTAGACCTATATTTGGGGTCTTCAGTTATTTTGCAGCTTTGGATAAATCACTTCTCTCAGAGCCTCTATTTTCGCATTTGTAAAATTAGAGGTTCATCTCTTCCTTGCTATTGGGGCAGGGGCAACCCTGCAGAATCAAATGTGAAAACGTATAGAATCCAGGTGCTAGTTCAGGAAAGATATTGGTGTTTTGGAACCAACTACTTCAAGAATACTCGTCCTCTAGGTTCTGAGTGGACCACATCCAAACCACATAGACACATATAATTTTATTATATCTGGAAAGGATCTGAGAGATAGGTAGTTGTAGTTTTCCATTTTATAAAGAAATCGGGCCTCAGGTTAAGTGACTTGCCCAAGGTCACATAGCTGTAGCTGCTGTATGTTTAGGACCTCCTACATTTTTTCTCTAGGGTTATCCCTACTTTGTTTTGACACTTTGATTGTACACACCAATTAGAGGAGAGGTAAGGGCTAGGATAATGTGGAATTCTTGTGACCTCTGTGATCGCTGAATGTCCTGCATGGCTGCTAGAACTGAAAGGTTTTCTAATGGGACTGCAGAATTTCTTATGGCTGCTGCATCTTTTCTGTTACTCTGCTTACCTAGGGTCCTACAAACAGGACACAGAAGGGTCATGGGGTCACTTAAGACTGAGCTGAAAGGATGTGCCATCAAAATAAGCAACATAGAAAGATAAACAAACCAGAGACAGAGAGCTCGGGATGAAGGTGCAGGGGGGCCAGGACTGCTGTCAGAGGGCCATGCGGTCATTGCTTGGGGTCTGTTTTTCCTAGTTCTCATTGGGACTGTTGCTAGGCGAGAGGCCATAGACATAGGGCAGAGGGCAGTAGGATAGGGAGGTTTCTAAGATACTAAGGCCAGGAAAAATATTTAAGGATTGAACAGGGGGTTACTTCTCCATATTTATTCCTTTTTTCTCCTTTCCCCCAAGAGCCTCTGATTTCTTATTTCCAAGGAGCCCAAGGGGGCCAGCTGATGGTGGCCTAACCAGAGGGAGAATACTGGCAATGTTGATAGAAGTCAGCTGGGTGGGTTGGTCGCTGGCATGATCCTCATAGAGGGCAAGAGCCCTATATAGCGCATTTCCTGGGACTAGGGCCTGAAAGACACCTTTCGGAGTGGAAGATGAATCCAGGGCTTGGAGACTATTATTGCATGGCAGTAGGAACTATGTTAAAGGGGAACTTTAGAATGGTTGGGCTGGCACAGCCCACTCTCAGTCTAGTCCACTGGAGGGAGTTTCTTCCCCTGGCCCTGTCCATGCTTCTCTCTCTCCATCTGGTTGCCATCAGGCTGTGCGGCTGCTGGCGGAGCTCTTTATTTATTTATCCCAGTGTAATGGGGTGAGGAGGGAGCTGGCCTAAGGCTGGCATTCCGAGGCCAGGCCACTGAGCCACAGGCGGTTTGCATGGGTGTGTGAGTCACTGGGGCTGCATGCTGCTCAAACCAGACTCGGCCAGGCTCGGGGACAGAGGCAGCCCAAAATAGAGCCCCGCCCTCTGCAGCTGGCAACCCCTGGCTAGGAATCAGCCCTTGATACCAAAACCTGGGCAGTTGCATGAAATTGGCTTCCTTAGGGAGGGGGACCTTAACAGAGATAGAGATTTTGCAGTTCTCGTCTTCTCTGTCTTCAGAGGAGAGTATTCAGCATAGCAATAACTTCTTTTGTGGCATTCTGAATGCCTTGTAAGACTTACAGTAATCTGTTCAGTATAATACTTTAAACAATTTCTATTATATCGTTTTAGTTATATAACTACAGTTAACATTGATTTGACTCAGCATCCTAAATAGCCATGGCCTTTGTGTCCTGTCTAGTTTTGGTTACTATCTTCATCCCCTGTCTGGTTGCAGCCTGATTCTAGAGCAGATACTTTAAGTTGTGAAGATATTTATTGCTGCTCTTAGGAAGCTAGAGGTTATATCAAAGACCCCTGGGGAAGATGCGGAGTTCTTTAATCTGGAAATGGTTGTCCTGTTAGGTTCATTCACATACAGCTTCTACTTGGTTTCCTTGGCCGGCTTTACCTAGAATTGTGTCCTTGATCCTCTCACCCTCCACTCTCTGAGTTATGTCATCCAGACCCCAGTTTCAGCTGTCACTAGTACACCACTGAGTTTATATCTCCATTATGTTTCAGATCCATATTTCTTCCTACAGATTTGACATTTCCACTTGGATGTCCCACATGCAACATGTCCAAAATTAATAATCTATTCCCCCAAATCTATTTCTCTTCTTATACACCTCATCTTGAGGAATTTATTTGACATTTCCATTTGGATGTCCCACATGCAACATGTCCAAAATTAATCTATTCCCCCAAACCTATTTCTCTTCTTATACACCTCATCTTGAGGAATTCATTCAGTTTTCTAGGCTAGATACTTGGGAGTTACTCACCTTTCTCTTTGTCCTTCCTTCCAAAGCCTACCTTGTCAGCTGTCTTTTGAATCTGCTGTTTTTCTTTATTCCAGCTCCCATTGCCTTGGGTTTGCCACACCCACTCCATTTTTGGTTTGACCATGGATCAGCCTCCTAACTTGTCTCCTAGTCAATACTTATTCCCCTCCCATTGAACTTGCAGTTATGTCAGAGTGATCTCTTTGAAACAGAAACCTGATTATGTCACTCGCTTGTTTAAAGTCCTTCAGTGGTTCTCAATTGCCTATAGGATAAAGTGCAAAACTCCTTGCGTGTCACACAAGGTCATTCATAATCTGGTCTTGCTGACCTCTTCAGCCTAATCCCTTGTCGTTCACCCATTGCACCCCACAATTTCATCATACTGAATTATTGACAGCTTCCTGCCAATAATGGCTTGTGACCTATTTGCCTGGTATTCTTTCTTGTCCTCATAACAAACTCCTATTCGATTTTCCCAACTCCACTTAGGCATCATCTCTTTTGTGAGTTTTCCATGACAGTTTTCCCTTTCCTCAGCCCGCTCTCCCTCTTCCAAGCATAGGTACATTCTTGCTATTCCCACAGTCCCCTGTACCTCCTCTGCTGCTCTCATCTGAGCCACTGTCGTCTCTTCCCTGCATTTTTACAATAGCTTCCTTACTGGTA